GTAATGATATTCCCAGTCACCTTTCATCTGTGTTACAGCGAACTTTCTGCCCAGAGGTCGATTGTCCGGGGTCAGGCCATCGAAGGCTGCGTTTAAAGATTCCACGATTGCACGATAAAGAGGATTGTGGCTCTTCCATCCCAGGCTCAATTCAGTATCTAGGCACCAAAGTAGCCATTGACTCATCCTCGTTGACTTCGGTCTCCACAACACAAGGCTCATAAAGCAACCTGTGATTTTGGCTTGATCGTAGCCCTGCCCATACCGAGCAGTGTCACCATAGAGTGATACAGGGATGTGGGAACCATCAAAGTCGGGGTCGCAACACCAGTCACACCAGCGCTTACAGTGGGCCCAATACTTGGCTAGAGCATCTGCAGAAATTTCCAAGCCAAGCTCCTCGAACAGAAAAGACAAGATGCGGTGCGGGAGTAGCACCGGAACCTTCACACATACTTCTTCTTCCGAATCGTGTTTCTGCTTCAGAACGGTCTCCACATAAACAGGTGCCTGGCACACGACCCAAAACCACAATCCCTAGACCTAGACCAAGCATTAACGACTCGTAAACCCTAAACCTTAAATCCGAAGCCCAAGACCTCCTGACGGTCAAAGCCGCTTATTTTGAGGCTAGCCCGAAACTCTTAGGGTTCGGGTCGGGGGATTTCGCAGCAAAGCACCACCGGGAGCCGAATTGATCGTGTAAAGTCGCGAGCATGGTTCTTGCCACTGAAGGTGCCGAGCTTCGTCAATGGGGCCGGAAGAAGACCAGCTGCGTCCTCGGCCACGGTTGCATCGAAACACTCTACGTATAGGACTTGGGTTTAGGCTTTGGGGTGGCTTGAAGGTTTGTGCAGCCGGGTTTCGGTAACAGTGGATTTGGCGCCTCTCATCTCACGGGCGATGGAGCCGGCCTTTGAAGGATTTTTCAAGCTGGGCTTCAGGGTCCTATGTGGCGTGTTGATAAAGTCTCAGGGTTTTTCGTCTTGTGCAGGGACCGATCACACCATTCGATTAGGCAAGGAGCAGCTGCGACATTGTCCACCATATCAAAAACGACCTCTGAAGTACTCGAAACTCCACCTGCGAGCGGAGAGGTCGGTGCTATACTCCTATGTTCCTGTGGTGCTGCTTGTATCTATGATTTCGTGCATAGGCCGAGCTGGGATGTCTAAGCAGAATTTTCCAAGCGGGCCCGCCAAATCCGGCACGTCTAAGGCACTCGAGGATTTCCCCATCCCCTGCACCAAGTGCAAGATAGCAGGGTTCATTGATGCTTTGTAGCACCAGACACTTCGGAACACCGACATTTGCTTTCATAATGCCGGCAAAAGCTTCATCTTCTCCACACAGCATCAGACCCCCGAGGGCTAGTGCCTGATCTACATATATAAGCTTTATAAGCTAAATGAAACATAACATGTAGGATTCGCAACCGTGCAACCACAACCACTCGGGTGCTGTGTCTCGGACGAGCTCCCTACTTCTCCTTCACAAAGCTCTTCTTCTTGCCGAAAGCAAGCACCTGGCCCTGCATCTTCTTCATGAGCTGCTCAGCCTGCTCGGTCAACGTCACCATGTCGTTCTCCTGACAAGATCAGACATCTTAGGGTTCAAGGCTGTTGAAACTTAGGGTCATGGTATGGTGCAAGTTAAATCTAAGGCGAAGCAGACTTGTGTTGTTTAGTTTAGCGAGATCCAGCTTAAGTTTAGGGGTTGATGTCGTGGCAGCAGATAATAGTGCAAATCTGATCGAAAAGAGCAGGCTTGGGAGGCCCACTAGATCGATAAGCAAAATCCAGCTCCTCCTGTCCATCGACAGCACTTTGCAAGCTTGCTCTGCAGGCGGAGAGCTGGCCGATGCAATCATCGAGATCCTTGCGGAAGGCCTTCTGCACCTGCTTGCTCCTTTGCACGAGGGGGCATCGGCGGGATTCAAGGGTTTAGTTCCTTGCATCGTCGGTTCGAGAGACTCAGCCCCCAACAACCCATCCAAGTCAGCAATCTTTGCATTGTGGTCACGGATCATCTTGCTGAGCTGGCCGATGGCCTGGGAGGGCACAGGAACGGGTGTGAGAGTACGGGGTTTTGCTTTCATGAACACTTGCCTTGTTGGCTGCCTGCTTTGCTTTCTTGAACCTGGCTTTCTCCTCCTCGGCCTTTTCGTCCTTCTCATCCTTCTCCTTCTTACCCTTCTTATTCTTTTTTGCATTTTTCTTAGACTTCTTCTTGCTCTTCTTGTCGTCCTTGCTCTTTCCCTCCTTCTTTCGATCGTCCTTTGCGCTTTCGTGCTGGGGTGCAATCGGCTTTTGGTTTAGGGATCAAGGTTTTGAGATTTTAAGGGTGTCAGGGTTTAGGGTTTTAGGGGCAGCAAAAATGGTTTGTGTTTTTGGGTTTGGGCTTTCGGGTTTGTTTTGTTGGCGTGTAGCTGTAGGTGTGCAACCCAGCAAGAAAACACATATGTGCATGGAACATTATTGCATGTACATGTATACAATGTCATGTATGCAGGTGTGCATGTGTATGTGTGCATGTATGTCATGTGTGCATGGTACGTATGTATGCAGGTACGGATGCAGGAAATGTAGTGTGCACGGGTATGCAAATGTCAGCCATTGAACCAATCCGCCACCCACTCATTTATCAATCACTCACACACGACTTCACGGTCCTTGCCACCTTTGTTTGGCTTGTCGTCGTCATCATCGTCCGAGCTCGAGCCGTCGTCGGACTCACCTCTGTCCTCCTGCTGGAACAGATCCGCAATCTCATCAACATCCTCGTCGGTGACCTCCTCGTCCACCAAGACGAGGTACTGGATAAGCCCTGCGAATTTTCGTGAAGGTTTCACATGGGAAAGTAAAACATTGAACAACACAGATCATATCTATGCATGAATGCATTGGTACAATTCCCCCGGCTCCTGGGCATTCCGGGTGCTCTCGCACCTCCGTCTTTTTAAGGTACTCGTCGGTCTCTTTGCGGGCGATAATGCTGTCCACGATGCTTGCATCATCAAAATGCACTAGCATTTGGGATCGTGTGAGCCACCGGCGAATCCCCCGTCGGCCGTTTCTGGTGATGGACTTAATGGTCCGAAAGATCATCGATTTCTTCCAGTCCCCCTCCGTTTGGAGGAAGTCCTCGTACAAGCTGCTCATCTTGTTCTTGCCTGAGTAGCGATCGTACATGCACATGTGTAATATAACAAAAGCTGCGACCACTAAGTGCAAGCATGGCACAGTACTTCGACTGATCGAATGCCGACTTGATCTCGGTGGGGCAGGTCCGGCCTAGGTAGATGTATACACACTGCACACACACACATTGCAGTATAGGCTGCAACATGATCACACAATCATCATATGAGTCAAGTGGCTGTGCACACTTCGGTAAAACCTCATGTACATCTTGTGTGCAAACTTCTTCTTGTTCTCTAGGCTCTGCTCCTCCGTGGCTTCCTTTGCGTTGGCCTGCTTATCCTTGCTGGGGGATGAATGCGGCTTGCGTGCTGCTTTCTTGGGGCTCGGCATGGGCTGATTGCTGGACCTGGCTGTCCTGTGATCCTCCTGTTGCTTCGCCGTGGCACCATCGCCTTTGGACTTCTTGTTGGGCTTTGTTGGGGTTGGGACCTCGCTTTCATCTTCCTCAGCTTTGCGTTTCTTTCCAGAGTCCTTCTCGCGCTTGGTCGGGGCCTCGCTTTCCTCAGCTTTGCCTTTCTTTCCAGAGTCCTTCTTGGGCTTGGTTGGGGCCTCGCTTTCCTCAGCTTTGCCTTTCTTTCCAGAGTCCTTCTCGGGCTTGGTTGGGGCCTCGCTTTCCTCGGCTTTGCCATTCTTTCCAGAGTCCTTCTTGGGCTTGGTGGGGGCCTCGCTTTCCTCGGCTTTGCCTTTCTTTCCAGAGTCCTTCTTGGGCTTGGTCGGGGCCTCGCTTTCCTCAGCTTTGCCTTTCTTTCCGGAGTCCTTGTCGGGCTTGTTCGGGGCCTCGCTTTCATCGTCTTCAGCTGTGCCTTTCTTCTTGGGGGCGGATTTAGCGGCCCCCTTTGCTTTGGCCTTTGCTTTTCCATTCGTTGAAGCTTTGGTCGAAGCTGGGCTGTTGGTGTTGGCTTCGGCTTCGGGGTCCTTCGGGTCTTGGCTGTCATCGGCTTCCTCAAACTCTCGCTGGAGCTGCTTCTGCGTTTGCTTTGCACGATCCTTTCTCTCCGAAGTAGACTGCTGATCGACAGACTGTGGCCTCCTCAGAGCATGTCTGACTTTCTTAGACAGAGACCCTGATAAATCCTCAGTGTCGGCCCGCTTCGCTTTCGGCGGCGGGGTCTCCACTACCGTCTGCTGGGAATCGACTCTCAAAGGGGCTTTGCCGGCCTTACCCTTTTGAAAAGCTCTCTTTCCGGGCGGCGTGTCGTCAAAGTCTGGGTTCGGATTCTGGGCATCTTCTTTGCTGCTGTCGTAGGACCTGGGCACAACTATCCCATGTCGTGCTTGTGCATAAACACACGAACTCATGATCAGTGCATGCTACCACAAGTATCACAAAGGACCCCACCACTTCCGAGCAGGTGGCGAGGGTGTGCTTTCGGCCCTCGCTGCCCTTTTTTGGGCCTGCTCCAAAATCTTCGCCACGTCCACCGGCATCGGCACGACAGCGAAAACTCGAGGCTTCTACACAGGAGGCCTACAAACGGCAAGAACAGCCTGTGTGATATCAAAGCCAGCAGGAATTGAGCTTGCGTGCAGACATGCGGGAGCACTTCACGGACACAGCAGTCTACGCTTTAGTCGTGTGTGGTTGTGTGATTTTTGAGGGACATAAGTTTCACAGTTATATGGGTTCGTTTCACGGTGTTCACGGTGCTTTTCACGCTGTTTTCACGCTAGTTTCACGCTGTTTTCACGCTCAGCTTTGTCTCGTGATTTTGACCAACTGAGCACCGAACTTTTGGGCTACGTATCGGCAATGCCGAGTGGCTGGTGTCGCGGCCACTGAATCAGCTACTGCTTGTACAACGACCAACTCATTCACAGCCCAGGCCCCTGTAGGCTTCGACTAAGGTTGGATGATCCCGAACTATAGAACAGCCTTTTGGTAAACTTTAGTATTGTGGGGTTGTGACAGACGAGGAACACCGCATTATGGAAAATCAAAGGCTGGCACATATCGACCGGCCTCGATCTCACTCAAAAGAAACAGAAAGATCGGCTCGAGATTCGCGTGCTTCCAATCAAACGGCGGCTGCACCACTGGAAGCTCGCTCTTCGCAGCCTTCAAGGCCACACTGCGTGCACAGACCACAAAGGAAGCCGATGCCAGGAGTAATGAGATGAACTCAACAAGCCCAGCCTCGGAAACCTTCTTCACACCCCCGGACAGGTTGCACTCGCCGCTGTTCTAGGCACACACACACACATGGAAAGCTAGATCAGAGAACTCGGGAGCAGGACCACATTACCCGGCAATGCATGCAAGAGGCCAGCAAGACCATATGGTGGTGGGCGATCGCTTGCCCAAAGCCGGCCGGGTACGTCTGGGTGTTTTTCAACTTCGGTAATCCTGACCTCAACCAAGCAACACTAGCAAACAACCTGTGCATATATGCGGTGAACACACGGCCACCTCACTCCCCGACACACTCGCTCGGTCGTTCCCTCACTTGCATTCACACAGACAGACTTACTTTAACTAGTCTCCCCCACACCGACCCACCGACCCACCGAGCCACCGATCCACCGACCCACCGACCCACTGACCCACCGACCCACCGACACCGACCTGCCCGCTCACTCGCTCGCCCGCCCACCCACCCTAAACCCATTATGCATATGTGCTGTGCCAGCACAATCCTACAATCTCCCTCCCTCCCTCTGTCTCTATCTCTCTCTCTCTCTCTCTCTCTCCCTCTCTCCCTCTCTTCCTGTCTCCCTCTCTCCCTCTCTCACTCTCTCCCTCTCTCTCTCTCTCTCTCTCTCTCTCTCTCTCTCACTCTCTCTCTCTCTCCCTCTCTGTCGAAGGGGATTGAGCGTATTCAAACAGCACCCTTCTCTCTCTCTCTCTCTCTCTCTCTCTCTCTCTCTCTCTCTCTCGCGTTCGCTTTCTCTCTCTGTCTTTTTGGTTTGATCTCTTGTATATCGATCCCTTCCACACAGTGTGTCTCCCTCACTCATACATGCACCACAGACAGGATCTAAGGCAGGGTCACAACTTTCTTTCCAGTTCCCCGTTGCTTCCCATTCTTGAAGAGACCTTTCGAAGAAAGCCTCAGCTCTCTCCTCTTGGCCTTTGTGAGGCGTTGCTTCATCGATGGCAGCCACGGCCTCACAGGGCGGCGAAGATTCTGGTTCTGTGTTGTTCCTAAATAAAGCAAGGAAGTCACAATAAGACCCAGACGGGGTGCCCACCAAAACGGTAAGCTTGGGCGCTCGGTGCCCGTAGGTCCCCATCCAACTTGGTCGTCATAATGCTTCGGCCACTAGAGATGCCACACCTCTTGTGCAACAGAGTGCCTGAGATTCGGGCAACCGCACGGTCATCATGGGTATTGCGGCACCGTAGCATTCTTCCAGGAACCGTAGGTAAGGGAACTTCAGGAAGACAGAGCTCCAGGGTTGCTCTATCATCCAGTGCACCGATCGCATGCAGGCAAGCATGCACAAAAGGATCGTCCGAGTAGCCAACCTTGGTGGGGAGTGCAGGTGATTTGATTGCATAACAGCGACCTAGTAGTACACATGTGCAGAGCTATGCACTTTGCCATGCTAAAGTAATGCCAGAAAACTCGTTCGCCCTCCTCACATAGACGTAGCGGGTTGTTCCGAATATGCAAGTGCTCCGTCCCGACGTAGCACGGTTCATGAATACCCACGAGTTGCATGGCAACCCACAGGCTAACAGGCCTGCTTTGCGAAGCCTCAGCACCTTGTTCAGCGCTCGTACCATGCCGAGCCTCAGCAGCGGGGGCACCCACACCAAAACACAGACTCGCGGCCGGTATGCTCTGGGCCCTGAAATAAGATCCCGGCACTGTCAACAGATCGTCATCTTCCCGAGCACCCACATCGAAATAGTCCCTGGGCCATGCATGTTCCTCCATGGATCATTGAAAGGCTACTCCGATACATAAGGGTTTCTAAAGGCTGAGACCCCGGCGACTTGAAGCCACGTGAATCTCGGAAGCAGGGCAAGCAATGTAGATTCCCAACATCGAAAGCTAAGACCCACAATGACCCGTTACCCTAGACCCCTAAGTTGACTGAAGTAGACGGGCATGCTGCTTCATTCATGCAAGAACAGGCCAACTGTAAGACCATGGCTGAAGGCGCTTTCGATCGCCCTCTTCCCGGCGAAGAGGTCCAGGCAGAACAAGTCCTAGGCACAACTGAGCACAGGCAGCCCCAGGCCAAAGGCGAAGGAATGAGCTCTGAGGCTTCAGCCCGAATCGTGTTAGATCCGGAGGCATTCTGGGCCACGTAGTCGATCAGGTGTAACCTCAAATGAAACGGCTTGTTTTAGAGATTTAAGATTTTTTTTGAAGGTTTGGGTGGAGGGAGTGATTGTATGAGATTTTGTGATGTGTTTGTTGAAGGATGCTAAGGGCTAACAGTGCGGGAAGGTCCAGCGGGCTTTAGCTTTGGTTTTTTAGTTAGGTATTAACAATTTAGGACTTAGGGTTTGGGGGTGTTGATTTCACGTTGAGCAAAGCCGCATGATGCTTGGAAAGCCAGCGTAGGCCAAGGCCAGAAGACAGTCACGAGAGAGGGCCAGGTCATTTAACATCCAGGCAGCAGCCATGCCTGCTAACCTTTCATAGAGGCCTTGAGCCCTACTTCGAACCGGAACAGATCGAGCCCTCGAGAAGCATGCAGCGAATACCAGCAATACCCTAGGGAATAACTTCGAAGCAGTAAGTGCTTTTGCTCTTCGGGAGCGAGGCTTCCACGGTCGCTTCTGCCGGTTCCCAGAACCTGTCGATTCACAGCAGAAGACAACAACGGCTAGCAACTTCCAACAAACTTTGAGATGCCTCTTCTCAGGTGGACCAGCCAGCTGCCTGTAAAGAAGCTTTCCACCTCGATGCAATGTGAAACGACACATCTGCCCGAGCTCAAACCTTTTTTCATGAGCCTGACCCCAAACGAACTTTGAGTGCCAGGCCCAGATTCCACATCGGCGAACCGATTCCATCCCATCGTGAGGCCATCCTTCTGGTTGATCTCGGCATGCATTGCATTTCGGGTCAGAAATAGTGCAAAACTTCGACAGCTGGTTGGGTGCCCGGCAGCGAAGTCCGTTCGGTACTTGACGTTCAGTCCCGGGATTCGGTCAGGGGGCGGATTTGTCACGTACCAGTAGCCAGAAGCCGCCGTGAACCTGGTTTGAGATTCGGGTTGTGCAGGGAGCGGGCAATATAGGCTGTAGCAACTTAAGTGTCAAACAACAAGCTGAGCAATGAACCGCAATGAAATGGTCGACTTGTGATTCGGATGTCGGATAGTCCAGTACCTCAAGCAAATGCGCTTTCGACTCTTGAAGCCCGAGTGCGGAATTAGTTGAGATGGCTTTGTTGCTGAGAGCCCCACATTTGGGATCCCTTCAGCACGTTTTCCTCCACCACGAAGCGGGAGTCTTTCTTCGCCAATTCTCGGAACTTCGGGGCCCAGTGCGCTTTGACCTGCCAGAGCACATCATTCACAGTAACCCACTAAAGCAGACGGCGATAAAAGTCCCACAGCCCTTGTCAATGAAGCCTAGCACGGGAACTCACGTGTATCAATAAAGGCCCAAAGCCCCTAGCCCCGTGAACCCTGGACCCCTTGCAACCTTCAAGACAGCGACACCCCAGCAACCTTGTTTTGCTTGGCATCGGGGACGTCCTTGGGCTTTTCATCATCTTCCTCCTTCTCCTCTTCCTCTTGCTCTTCCCCAGATTCCTCTCCCGCTTCATCATCATCCTTGCCCTCCTTTGATGCCTGAGTGGCTTTTCTCGCCGAGGCAGCTGGCCTTTTCATTACAACATCCTCTTCCTCCTCCTCTTCCTCTTGCTCTTCCCCATATTCCTCTTCCATTTCACCATCATCCTCGTCCTCCTGCTCGGCCTTTCTCGCCAAGGCAGCTGGCCTTTTCATCACAGCATCCTTTTCCTCCTCCTCTTCCCCCTGCTCTTCCCCAGACTCCTCGTCATCCTTGCCCTCCTCCACTGGGGTCTGCTTGGCCTTTTTTGCCGGGGCTCCAGATTCACGAGCGGCTGGCCTTCTCATCACTTTCCGTTTTCCTTTCCCCCGCCCTTTGCCTCGGCCCCTTCCCCGACCTTTTTTCTCAGGGATGGAGTCAGGGGAGCGAGGGTCCTCCTCTTGATCTCCCTCGTCCTTCTTCTTTCGGAGGGCTTTTCTGGTTTTGGCCTGGGCCTGGCAGCAGATTCCTAAATAATCTTTTATTTGATGAAGGGGCTTCATGCACTCATGCAGGATAATGAATGGGCCTCAAGTGCCAAGTTTGCATCATCGTTCTCGGAAGCTGCTAACACAGCTTCGGCCTTAGCAACCACTTTGGAGTCAATCTTCGGTGTGGGGTCTTGCCTTTTTTTGGCTTCTTCATCCTAGCACATCAGAAGTTAAGACAAGTCAGAAGTCTTGCACAATCCATCGAGTCGGTTCTATCGAACTCCGTGCAAAACGAAGGTCCTTGTACACACCCCCTGCTCCATCTTTCTCTGAAGCAATATCTTCCCCGTCAATCTCTTCGTCTTCTTCTGCTGCTTCCTCCTCGTTTTCCTCTGGCTGGCAGGAGCCATCGTCGCCAGCTTCGTCATCGTCCTTGCGGCCAGCAGTAGCGGCAGCAGCAGCAGCAACAGCAAACTATGCAATGATTACGGAGTTGCACCAGCACGATTTAAGCCACAAAGCTCTCTAAATCCCTCGCCTGCAACCAGACCCCAAATCCCAGAGCTTGAAAGGACTAGCTTTTCACATATTAAGGTTTAGGCTTAGGGTTAGGCTTAGAGGGCTTTAGGTTCACGTTTATTTACGGGTTACGGGTTTTGTACCATGACTGAGCGAATCAAACAAATCTAGAGTGGCTGTGGTCCAGAAATCGTCGAGAACTGTGTTATGTATGCACTATATGAGTTGCTTCGATGAGTCCTGATTTTGGTGGCTGGTGCAATGTAAATTTATCAAGCTTCCGTCGTTTGGGGTTTAGGTTTTGCAGACACGAATTTTTCCATTTCAACGGTAAAGCCCTGCACCCCTACTGCCAAACATCTAAAACCGAAACCAACCCTGAAAGCCCTAAGCGCTTACACCCTCTTAAACTCGGAGCCCTTCAAGTCTTCAGTAGTTACACTCCACCCTAACAAGCCCCAAACCTTAAATGAACCCATTGCATATCATAGGATAAACCTCGGTCCTAAGCAGCACTCGGAATTCCAAAGATCTAGCCCCAAAACCAAACCAACCAACCCACCTCCGGCTCCATCACGTTGTCGGGCCGAACATCCTGCAGGAAGTGCAGTCGAAGGATTGTTGGTTTGAGTTTGCTTGAAATTGTAATCATGGGCTCCTGCTTTCGGGCTTGGATGATTTGCTTCAGTGCTGCCATCCTCTCGTGTGGCTCGCCTTTCCTGGAGCAGAACAGTTAGCTTTGTTTGAATTCCCGAACGGACACACACACACACACACAGAAATCGAATGCCTCGCACTTGGATTCCTTTGAGCCCGCTCGCATGCATACGAAGCATACGATCGTAGAACAGCAGCTTCCTCCTCGGCCCAAGCCTCAACGTCAAGACTCGATCGATAAGCATTGGCTTCATTTCCGATACGATAGGTTTCTCAGGATCCCGCGGTTTTGACAGCTTTCGGGACCGGATCGTTGAGTCTAAAATGGTCTGCTGCCCACAGCACTGCTGCTTCCACCTCCTTCTTGGTGGGCAAATCGCCCGCGAACGAGCTGCAATAGGCAGCCAGGATTCCAAAGTTGGTCTCGCATGTGACCTGGTCCGGGACATGATTGGTCATGTGGTTTCAGTTCTGCAAAATGTTTCTCGAAGCCCACCTCCTCTTCGCAAACCGTTCTGCTCGCCACATCCAAAAACCGGTACAGAAAAGGGTCCTGCACCGATGGCATTTTGCATTCCAATTGATTGACTGAAATGACAAAACATGGATCCATGGGCCTCTGACTCGCCTTTGTTCTTCTTTGGCCTTGTCCTCTTTAATCTTTCTATTCTTTGATTCACATACCCGGGCTTCAGGATGTCACTCAGCAGCTCCTGAACAATTCTATTTCTCCGTGTCACGCTATGCTTCATGCTCAGCGAATACTGCATCACACTGTTTCCGTCCTTCAGGAGTGCTAATCTTCGCGGATTCGGTCGCGAGTCCGGCATTTCTCGCTCGAGCATAGCAGCCGCTGCAATCAAGAAGTCTCTCTGCTTCACTCTTTCTGCAAAGCAAAGCACCGGAAGGCGGGAGGATGCACCTGTTTCTCCGAAATTTCCTTGTTCCGAGAGACCTGGGCCAAGCAGGATGCAGCTTTGGTGTGTTCGATGTTTGTAGTATGGGGCCCGGACGACGGTCAATGGCTTTGGTTGCTCGAACCCTCGGCATTGTAAAGACCTTGCAAGACAAATTATTTCCACTTTCACAGCCGG